ATAAAAACAACTCAAAGTTAAATAGAAATGAGATACAGTCAGTTCAATCCAGTAGGATGTCAGATTTGTATTTATTTACACTTCTCATCCAACCACAATCAAATTCACTCTATCCATGGGCTCCATGTACCTGGATAGATTTGTATGTATTTTTTTCTGAACAATGAAAAGATGGAATAAAAACAACTCAAAGTTAAATAGAAATGAGATACTTTTTGTATTTTTAAAAAGTAGTAGTAGTATTAATAACTGAATTAAAATGTAAGGAGTAGAAGTAAAAAGTAGACCGAAAAATAATTACTCCACTAAAGTATAAATAAGCAAAATTTCTACTTAAGTTACATAAAGTATTTTTACTTAGATACTTGACGCCTCTGGTTAATTACAACTGGCCCTTTGAGGGCCGCCATAACTTTCATGTGGCCCYYGGTGAAAATGAGTTTGACACCCCCGACACAGAGTACAAACATTGTTTAACCACTTTTGCTGAATTTTGAAACTTTATTTAATGGAGACGTTCCTCTGAAAGATTTATTGCTCTTTCTCCTGCGTGCTGCTCAGTCAGACCAACCAAATATGTTGCCAGTGTTCAAGACCATAGTCAGCACGTGTAGAGAACAAGCATCAAACAGCAGGAGAGCTTTTCCTCGTAAAGGTGTTTTTTTTATGAAGGTGGTTTGATGCACACTTACCTGTAGTAAGGACAAAGAGATGAGTACGGGGAATAACCCTTGGAACTTTTCCAGCACATGAAATTCCCCTGCAGCTCTTTCACGGTCTCCAGCGTTTTCCTCTCGCATGGGAACGACTCCATCAGACAGCCTGCGGAGGACAGGAGAAGACTGTTGGGACTGGARTTAGAAAGACGGGGGAACATTAAGGAACTACTGTATGTTGGACAGAGTTAGTCAGATCCAGAATCAATCAGGAGGAGACCGAGGAGACCAACCTGGAGGTGTCGCGTTGCAGGCAGAGAAAGCGCTCAGAGTCGTGTACAGGCCGTTGACGGCATCCTGGAAATGTTCAGCAAAGAAGACATGACTTTCAGTTGGCTCACTGGCAAATGAATGTAGCTCCTCCCACCTGCAAAATAACAAGTTTAAGGATCTTTCTGAGTCTTCTCTGCATAAATAAACCTTTTGTTACTGAGAACGGAAAGTCTTACCTTGGGTACCGCAGGCCAATAGCAAACAAGACCACACCTGTCTCTTTAAGCTGCGCCGCTGCTTGGACCACAGCACCCTGAGACCTCCCATCTGACATGAGGATGAGGATGCGCGGGACACTGCTGGAGTTCCGGCCCCCTGGAAAACCCTTTCTCAGAATGTATTTCAGAGCCAGGCCTGTCTGGGTGCTGCCTCCCCTGAGAGTCAAACGAGTTTGGAAATGTCTTTTTCACAGTTTTGGTAGAACCATCATAAAATGCTGCAGCTACTGAAATATTTGCAGAGTACATGTTCGGTGTTAAATGCAGATAAATCAAAGGTGATGCTGTTTTCAAACGGGAGATTTGAACGTAAGGATCTTCCAGTCATTATTACAACTGAGGATTTGAAATTGAAAATGTGTCACATTGTAAATATTTAGGATTTTTAATTGATGATTCTTTGTCTTTTTCTGCCCAACGGGTTTAAAAGGTTTTACACATCATTGCACACTATACAGTCGGGTTGGATGGACAGCCTTGGACACTCGTAGACTCAGTCATTGGTATATTTTTATTTATAAGGCCATACTAGGACTTCTTCCATCGTATTTGTTAGCCTACATAAATATAAAGTCTACTGGAGGACACTCTCTTTGTTGTGAGGATTTATTTTTGCTTTCAATGCCTAAAGTCTGAACTGAACTGTCTACGATGGTGCTGTTTCTATTTTTGCTTTGAATGTTTTGTAACCTCTGTGTACTGCTGCCAGTCTTGGCCAGGATTCCCCTGCAAAATAGATTCTTAATCTCAGTGGGATTTTCCTGGTGAAATAAAGGTTTAATAAAATAATAATAATAAATAATTAGAGGAAATTTGCAAACAAAAGAGATTAGTGTGGGTTATCGTCAGAAGCCAACTCGCCAAAATAAAACCTGCATCATATTTCTCAGTTTAGGTGCCGTTTAATTTGTAAATAATATATAGTTAGTTTAAACCCCAAGTAAACACACACACATAAACCCACTGCATAGCCCAGTAATTCGATTTAGGGTAACATGATTTCTGATATACTGCACTCAAAGCGTGGGTACTTATAATTAAGCTACTTTGGAATTCACTACGTTATTACTATCCCATGAAGCACACTTTGGCACACACTCCAAGGTCACTTGTACAATATCCAATGACCACACACAGTGCACCACTAATCTGAAATTAATTTGATTTCCAGTCCAGGGTGCAGTTGGTGAGGTGTTTGACTGCGTAAGCTTGGTGTTTAGGCTTTAAATGTATCAAAAGCTGTGAGAAAAATAAAGTGTGACTTTAGGCAGGCTGATAAGTCTTTTCAAAACAAAAGCATTTGTTTGTTGTGTGCAAACTGAACAGAAATACACACCTGTAGGAAACCTTGCTTATGTGCTTCTTCAGCTCCTGTTTGGTGGAGTACGAGTCCAAGGAGAACTCCAGCCGAGGACTGGAGCTAAACTGAAGCAACCCGACTCGCACCTGAACGAGGCCAGAGTTACAAGGATGTGGGCCGACGTGACGCAACGAGCAGATCACTACAGAAAAACTGACCTTGTCTGGCCCAACGTCGAGTGCTTGGCACAGCTTGACCGCGCAGTGTTTGGACCGTTCGAAGCTGCCCTTCCCGATGCTGTGGGAGCCATCCACGAGAAAGAGGACGTCCATGACTGCCGAGCACTGCATCACTTCCCACAGACACACACACAAACACTTGGCTACAAGCTCTCCGTGGTTTTATTTAACGTTTGGTATTTTTTAAAATCTTTAACTTTTCTTTTAACCTACATATTAAGACCAGTTTTAGAGATGCTCACTTTCTGCTGCAGCGTTGATCTTTCCAACGTTGACCTGGCTGGTTTTGAGCTCCTGCACACAGGCGCCATGCTCAACTAGGAAGGAAAAACGACATAAAGAGCCGTTAAAAGTCTCTATAATTAACTAATATAAGACATTAGGAGACAATACAGGCAGGAATCGCCAAACCACACAAACCTCATACAGTTACTAATTCAAAAGATTTATGTTTGTGTTAAGCATTCATCATTATATCCTTTTAAAGCATAAAACAAAACAATAAATTAGATGCTTTTCGCCAAGCCGGCCCAGATTTCCACTTAGCTCATCATGCAATGCTTAATTAACTAATCAAAACTAATGTGAATAGACAAGTGAAGAAAACTATTCTTTAGCTCCATTCACTGAAAGGACATTCCTTTATTCAGGCCCATGTACAGCGTGGAGAGGATTGGCAGGGCATGATTTACTGCAAAAAGGCCTCATTGCCCCTGACAACACAAGCAGATCACAAAGGCATTTGTTTAACCCAGAAAAACACTAATCAGTGTCTGAAAACATGTCTCTTCGGTGAGAACTCATGTTTAACTGTAAGGTGAACTCAAAAAAACAAAACAAATAAACACATTTTTATTTAAAGTGCCTGTGACATCCGTTTTTTGTAATAAACATGAATGCATTTTTTGGAAAGCGAACATTGATAAAATATTTCAAAACAAGTTCCACACCACTGAGATGAACAGTTGTTGAGATATTTGCGTGTGAAGAAACAGGAAGTGATGTCAAWGGGGAATGTCTGCATTTAAACAGGGCGTAGATACAACAGCTAACAAAAGAGACTGTGGAGAAGAATCKGATGTTTTTTAAAGATTTTTTGAATTTCTATCAAAGAGAGAGGAAGAAGAGTCAATATAGTTTTAATAAACGAAGACCAAAGAGTTTATTTTATTGAAGAGTTCCCCTTTGATGTCACTTCCTGTTTCACTTTGGCTGAGCTAAATCCAAAAGAAAATAGGCCAGTTATGAGTCAAAATGTGTAAAATCATGTGTATTATGCAAATTTTCTTAAGAATAAAGATGTTTTCTTTGACTTTTTGTATTTGAAGGATAGGCATGTCATAGGCACTTTAATTTTTTCCACTTGCTCCTTTCTGCAGGAGCCACCTCAGTAAGTGAACTCACATGAATGATCTGGCAGTTGTTTCATTGAATGTCCATCCTGAGGCAATGTGGGCTCAAACCTGCAGCTTTAGTAGCCTAAACAAAAAGTTTGTTCAGCCAAGTTCTTCTAGCAAAATAAAAAGATAGCTTTAATGTGAAAATAATTACGATAGTTTAAAAAAACAACAAGAAAAAAAATGGAGCAGGATAACGAGCGTAAATCCTCATCCTGTCTGTTATGTAAAGAACACACCTCTCAGTCTTGGAGACTTATGTGGTATTCTTAAAAATCTGTGAAAATCTTTGCCTGTCGTCAAAATGACTTAGAAAGACTGGATTTCACAGACATTTAGCTCAGTGATACTTTAACTACACTGTCAGAAGGGCCTCATGACAAGGTGAAAGAGTCAAGTATGGTGAAGTTCAAAGCCTTAAAATGATCCATCATAAACACTTGAAACAGTGCTAAAGATGTCATTTTTTGGAAACAACTTAAAGATTATGTTTCCACACAACTCTTTCCCCAGGCAAATACCAACACTCMTGAGTCCAAGCCGTAAAGAAGATGGAAATTTTGGCTCATCTGAAAACAAGCAGTGTTTTAAACAGAGAAGAAAAAGGTAATAACTTGACAAATAAACTACTTTATTTTGTTAATTTATTTCATTTGGATTGAAAACTTTTAACTTCATCTAGATTTTAAGGTAATTGAAATTTTTTTGTGGTTTAGGTAAATAACTAATGTCAAACTTAACAGGCAGATAGACCTGGATATCATCAGCAAAAAGGGAAATACTGTTATATGTTTTCTAAAAATGGACCCCAAAGGCAATAAGTATGAAGTGAATAGCAGAGTACCCAAAATAGAGCCTTGGGGGACTCCACAGGTGAGTTGAGCCACAAAACCAAAATGAACAGCAGACATTTTAGATCAAAAGTTTTTTTTTTTTTAAAAAGTCAGTAAAACATAAAAGTGCCATCTTAGTACTTAGCCATGATTTAAAAATTAATAAGATTTTTTTATTTACTTTTAAGACATGCAACTACTTCATGTGTCTAAAAATTTCTGGCTTTGATTAAAATTGGGTCATTTACAAAGATGACTGTGAGGATCTGTGGAAAAACTTGGGGTAAAAATGTGACACTGGGTTTCTGAGTACAAATTAAAAATTGATTTAGAAATTGTATTTTTCCAACTACAGTAGAGTTCAAAGACTCAGACAAACCTGACGATTGTCTTCATGCAAAATACAAACCATATGGCATCAGGAACATTTCTCTAAATCAAAACATTGTACACGTTTTAGTGAACATATTTAATTTGTTGCATCCTAAGCGCATGACAAAACTAGTATGTCATGGAAAAAAAAACAACACATAAAAACAAAGTCTTGAAATCCTCCTCTTTGTGCCAGAATAAATGTAAGAAAGACTAAATAAACAAGGACCAAATGTCTTGTGATCTGATAAATAAACATCTTTTAATTGTATGGGGAAACCAAAGAAAATGGGGACCATCCTTTGTGGTCTCTGTCACACTGAGTCAGCGTTTGGCTGAATGGTTTGCAGATCGCAGCATCCTGTTTTTAAAATATCTCTGATGAATATAAACAGGTTTGCAGATGGGAAACATTTCAACTTAAAGGTCCAGTGTCACTTAAAGGCATGCGCGTCGCTTGTTGCCTTCCATGCCAAAGTTGTAAAGTAAAAGCATGTTAACTTGAGACGACAGAGTTAGAAAATACGTGCAATGACACACAATGTGCTTGTGTTCTTATTTCTGGGTTGGGGATGACTCTCAGCTACTACTGCATGAAATTTTAGCTCAACATCTTTAAACCTGACTATGTTAAAAACACTTTTGTTTAAGCTAAGTTTAGCTAGCAGGGTGGCAATCCTAAGTTAGTTTTACTCCAAAAGTTGGTGTTGATTTACATCCAACAATTACTTTATGAAAATTTTATCAAAATCTGTTTGGTAATTTGTGAACTATTTTGCTAACAAAAGGAAAAAATTGTATAGGTCCTCTGGACCAGGTTGACTATCGCACCTAATTTTAGCTCAGTTTTTGTGAAGTTGACTGAATTATTAATTTCCCTACTGTGGTTCAAATGTCCTCACTGTGGGATCAATAAAGTTCTATCTATCTATCTATCTATCTATCTATCTATCTATCTATCTATCTATCTATCTATCTATCTATCTATCTATC